GGGGCTCTATTCAAGCCCATGCTCCTCCTTCCTCACGACCCTTACCTCCTCCTCTGACCCTCACCACCACCACCAAAAATACTTATAATTCTTCTGGAAAATAAACCCAGCTGGCCAGTGAACTTGTGCAGTTGCCCTTGGCCTTCACATAGTCAGAAGCTTTGGATGGTTCCCCAAGTAAAGCTGGAAATACTAGAAATGAAATTAAATGAAAGCAAAGCAGGTGTCTGAAAAAATTTTGTTTTTTCCCTTTTGCATTTTAGGATCTCAGGTATTTTTCCTTTGATTTATTGAATATTCCACATGGATATAACAACCTGACAGCTCTCTTAACCCATACCCCAGATCCCTGCTAAAATTTAAGCAAATAGCCAGGGTAGACATGGTGTTTTCTTGTTTTTGTTTTTTCCCCCTATATAGAGCCTTCTCTCATGGGGGCTGGGATATATGGAAGCAGGGACCAAGAAAGGAATAAGTTGGTAGGTGGAGAAGGGCATATGTAGAAGAGAACTTCTTTGCAGTGGGTGGTGGTGGTGTGCTCATCTGTGATGGTAGCAAGAACAGGAACACACTGCAGAGGTGGAGAGAGAAAGTTGCACACTCCCTTTGCATCTGAAGCACGACAGGATGGGGTATGTGAATGTGAGGAGTCACTGTTAGATCTGAAGAGAATCTAGCCGAGGGGAAGTATGTGTCTTTTAGCCTTGGCTTTTCTTGTTTACTGGACAATTGGCCGTTGGGGACCAATGGAATAATCCTGCATGTAGTACTGTATTTTGCACTATGGAGTGTTCCTAGCAGGAAGTTGCTCTTTCAAAAGACATATTCCTCTCCTTTTGTTGTTGCCGACCATAGGTTTAAGTTTGTGTTTATTTTTCTCCTAATCGAACCTCAAATGTTTGCTGATTCCCAATCTATTTGACTGAGATATATGGCTGTGGACTGACAAAAAGCTGTCTCATCAGTCTTTCATTATCAAAAGCAGTCTCTCCTTTTTTAAAAACTGAGGTATCATTGATATACAATCTTATGAAGGTTTCACATGAGCAACATTGTGGTTTTGACATTCACCCATATATTCACCACACCATAACATTCACCCACCCCCAATCCCATTGCAGTCACTGTCCATCAGCGTAGTAAGATGAAAAGCAATCTCTTCTTTTTGACAGATGATGAAACATCTATAGGGGACCCAGAAGGGTTGTTCATGAAGTCATTACAATCCCGGAAGAAGAGTAGCAGTCCTGAGCTGACTATTGAGCCAGAGAAGGCGGCTGCAACAAAAATGCCATCAGTTTGTCAGCCTTCAAAAATGAGCAAGGAGACTTTACCAAGGAAAGTGCACTTAGCTATATATCATCTTATTTCTCTGGATATATGAAAGCTGCAGAATCAGCATTATTACAATTCATTAAACAACTTCTTTCAAACCTACAAGGAGGAGATGAGCCTGTGGGGCACTTGCAAAACAACGCAGAGAACACTTCTCTTCCAACTGGATCCAGCATTTCGGCTGACAAAAATAAACAGAAAATAATCTCTGTTCTGGGAAATATCATAGATGCCATGCCTCTACGTTCCAAACTTCTGAATCCCAGATTTCACCCCCAAATCTCCACCAAAACATTGGAAACTGCCCAATTACAAGAAAACAGCCCACTAGACATTCAGAGAGTAGGGAGGAGGGTGGCGTCTTTGAAGGTGGTCATCAAGGGCCCAAAGGGCATTCAGAAGAGGCGACGCAGACAAATGAGGAAGGCTGGCATCAATGGGAAGCAGAGGGCCCAGCTCCTTGTGGAGAGCACGGCCGAAGAAAAAGGGCTCACGACAGCATCCCCAAGGGCGCCGGAGCAGCCTCACGTGGAGCAGCCCCCCAGGGAAACCGCAGAAAGCTCCTTCAACACAGCCTTCATTCCAAAGGGAACAAGAGGCAGCCGTCCCTCCTGTCCAGTACTTGATGGGCAGGCCTTCTGCTTCCAATACTCCAAAATCTCTACGTGAGATTAAACCAAAATCAAAAGACCTAGCTGACAGTATTTTTGTTTTAGAAGCTGCAAGTGCTGGAATGAGAAATATGAAGGCTTCTGAACCAACCTCACACTTCAGAGAAAAGTACCTCTTTCCTGAATCTTTGCAGCATGCGGGTCACAAAATACTCAAGGCCAAAATGAGTAGACAGTTCAGCAATAAAGGTTCACACAATAGCCCGATGGTTGTCAACAAGCCTCCATTCACTGCAATGAGCCTTATAAACTCCCCTTCACAAGAGGCTTTTTCATCATCAGAACTGACTTTTCAGAAAAATCATTTTCCAGATTTATTTTCTCTTTTGGATCCAACTCTCAAACTGACCACGCAAACACAACAGGAACACGACAATGTGGGCACTGACTTACTCTCCACATCCACAGCCTTCCCTTTCCCAGGGAGCTCATCTCCAGGTGACCACCCGGGAGCTCAGCTAAACGAGCAGCTGCGGTCCCTCATCACCAACAGTGATGTGAGAAGGCTCATTTCTCGTGTTTTCTGGACTTTGAAAATGGGCTGCTCGGAGACCCACCTGAAACCAGCCTGTGCCAAGCTCATCTCCCAAACCGGCCTCCTGATGAAGCTTCTCAGCGAGCAGCAAGAAGCAAAGGAGCCCAGGGCAGACTGGGATACAGACCAGAGGGAAACAGAAAACTACATCCATGAGAGTCCAGAAGCCCAGAGTGAACAGGAAGAGCAGGAGTTCCAGGAGGTGAGGATAACGCCCAAAACATGGCCCCCAGCCTGTTGTTAGTCAGTTTGGGACATGGCATTGAAGCACCCCGGCAGGAAGACCGCGGCCCCTAGTCTGTGTCTTGGCCTTTGGGGAAGACAGTGATCTCCCACTGTGCTCATTCAGACAATGATGCCACAATTGCTGGGGTAGACGAGGAGGGGACCTAACACCCAAGATGAACCAAGAAAATGCTGATTTATCATTAGCATTAGATTTGGTATGTTCTTGAAAACATTTACGCTGCTTACCTGAAATAATGAGATTTTATAAGAACTTTTATCCTTTCCACCTCTTTGTTTTTGAAAAGTCTTTTTCTATCATTTTTTCAGTTCCCAAAAGTTCTGGTGCATGGCTATCGAATCAAAGTCATCTTGGCATTGTCAGTGACAGGAGCAGTGCTGGTGTTGATTACAGCTTTCTGCCTCATTAAGGTAAGGACAGTTAGTTCTGGCCTCCAGAGGAGAGTCTGTCTTTAGATTCAGAATCCACAAACTGAAAATCAAAGCCTCTCTCCCACTACTTGATATTCCTTTTTAGTCACCAGGACCGACATATGCTTTATTCATTTCCTGCAAAGTATATGCCAGAGACTTTTAAAGAAACCCCCCTCGCAGGAGATCTCTGTGGAACTGACACCAGATAATGAGCCATTAGACTGTTTTGAGAGGTTTAAGAAGGCCAGAGTTGACATGACAGTAAAATATCCTCAACTCAAAACTAAGTCGATTTGACATCAGTCATTCCCGTCTCCTACCACTGATTTCTTTCCTTGTTGACTGGAATTATGAGGGATGTGTAATCTCCACCCTCGTGAGTGATCCGTCACCCTGGAAGAAAGGACATGGCTAAAAGATAAAAGTGTGATCTTGTTGATTCATTAGATTTACTTAGCAACTTTCTTCCCCATCAGGTAAGGCATTGTGGAAATAGGTCCAGTCAGATCACTGCAACCAAAAGCCCGTGTCAGGGTTTCTAAAGCACTTGTTATTGATGGTCCTTCTGGAGCTGGCTGGCCTGCCTGCCTTTTGTGCAATAACAGAATGGTTTGTTACTTTTCCCAACAGGCAGGGCTGACAACAACAGTGATTTAATTAGCTGGTAATCCTGACTCTACCATACCAACCCAACCTCATTTCCTATATGTACCTTTTCTACTGTCGCTGCAGCCCTCTTTCCAGCCAGAGCAGCTCCCCAGGATGCCCAGTCACATGCCCATTCCTACTTTTGTCTGTTCCCTTTCCGTTTAAAATTCCCTTGTTTCACCTTGTAGAAGTCCCTCGAGTCTCTGAAAGCCAACTCAAGTTCATGTTTCTCCATGAACCCTTGCCTAAATACTCCAGTCCTCCTGGTCCTAGTCCTTCTGTGAGACTTGTTAACAGTTCTTAGAGGCCATGGTGAGGCATTCCTCTCCCCTGCAATGTTAAGCAGCTCCCCAAGAGAGAAACACCAAGGTCAACACATGGTAGAGCAGAGCAGAGATTGTTTTTTACAGGGTTATAACAATTAATTTTCTTTATTGAACAGAACACAAATGTTGAAATATTTCTTTTATAAACATGGAAACATTTAAGTGAACTAAATATTTTAAAGTGCACTTCTGTCTTTTGTACAATAATATAATCATTCAGTCTAGGGTAATAAAAAGCAAACAAGACCACAGCCTTGAGGGCAATAACTTCAGAGTAGAGATATTTAAGGACCAAATGGCTTCCTGGCCTATCCGTCTTGAGTAAAACCTGACTGGATGGATGAACTGCTAAAGAGAAACTTGTATCTGTAGGTCGCTTGGTCAGGTCACTTTAGTGTGCCACAGAGGCCTCTCCCTGGTGATGACCAGAAACCCCCTGATTGTGTAGACACAGCTAGTCCATCTGTGGAACAGATATATATTTCTCATTGTCAAGTCATACTCTGGCATTCTGACATTTTATCAATGCTGTGATACTAATCAGTTGAGATTGCACCGAGTGAGTTCTCTCTTGGTGAGTCTCTTAGTCTAGGAGACTGGTAGCTAGCATGGGGTCAGCTTGCCAAGGCCTCTGGGAAGGGAGTCATTAGCCATTGCCCTGGCAGTGACCACTGTACCTCCAGGTGGCAAAAGACCTTTTGCTGTTTTGGAATTTATATAAGCTTCCATAGTGCTTTTAATGTCCATGTAGTTTAACCTTGCATTTATATACATGTAAATATGTATATGGTTTCATTGTTTCTTCTGCTCACTTAGATGATAAGCTTTTTGAGGACAGAGGCCATGTAATGTTTTCCCTGTGGTAGACAATAATGGTGTTCAAGGGGGAAAGAGGAGGCAATGTCAGTTCCACAGTAAGGAACAATGCCACCTAACAATGATCTGAAGTAGCATACGGAGTCCAGCAATAGACTGACCCGTGTGTTCCTAGGACTTTTGAAATGTCACCTTTTAATATTCTCATTGGTGGAAGAAGATGAATAAATGGTAATAGAACAGCTCCCTAACTATATGGGGGGGAAAAACAGCAGATCTCTATTTATCACCTTAAATAAACATATTTCAACAAAAAGAAAAGAAGAATCCATGAAAGTATTAGAAAAAAATAGAAGCCATAAGCAATATTTTTATATCTTGTGGTGGGAAAGAGCCTTCTAAGCCTGATATGACAAGCAGATGCCTTTCATAGATTTGGTCACCTTGCCTGTGACACCATCAGTAGACTTAGTACTGATTTATGTCAAACTTCAGACCAAATTCGCCATACATTTTCTGATTTAATTCCCACACTCCTGGGAGGATGATATTACCATCTCTCTTTCACAGATGAGGGAGATCAACTTGAGGCCCCAAACGAAGGTAGAACCCAGTGGTGCTCAACTGCAAAGTCTGTGCTCCTTCATCCACTGTTGTTTTCCTCATTGAAGATAAAAACCCTGAGAAATATTTGAAACATTGAAATTCAATGAAAGCCACTGAAAGGATTAGTATATTTAGTGTGAAAGTGTTCTAAATCTAGAGGAAGACAAACAATCCAGGGCAGAGAAGGACAATGGCAAGAGCAGGAGGCGTGCCGGCCCCGCCGCCAGTCCCTCCGCAGGGCCCGGCGGGCGCGGGTTTGCAGGAAGGCCTCTGCCACCTGACGGTATAAAAACAGTGTCTGATATTTTCTTCTGGTTAACATGTGTTGTTGCATTTTTTAATCCATCTAGAATTTGTTTTATTTGCTGTTTAGTGAGGTTGAGGCAGAGAATCTAACTTTTTCTCCCACATGAAGATCCAATTGTTTTAAAATCCTGTACTGAGTGGTTAATTTCTTCTTCACTGATAAAAAATACTATCTGTGAGTTCATGATGCGTGATCAAAACCGAAAGTTTCTGTGATGACTGCCCTTGCACTGTTCACCATGTAAGAACTTATTCGCTATGTAAGAACTTGTTCGTTATGCTTCAGAAGATCGGAGACTGTTGAGAATTGGCTTGGGGTTGATTAATGATTGTGCATTAAGTCCCCTATACAGAATTTTATTGTTGTTAACAACCATATGATCAATAAATATGAGAGATGCCCTCTCAAAAAAAAAAATACTATCTGTGTCTGGACTCTGTTCTGTTGATCCAGTTACCTTTTCTTATACTGTTAACACACTATTTAATTCCAGGTGCTTAATAACTTATTCTGATATCTCATAGAGTGAGCTCCTGCCCTTTGATCTTCTTCATACATTTCATAGCTTTTCGTTCATATTTTCTAATGTTTTCCACAAAAATATTAGCTGGCTAAATTTTAATTTAAAAAGTATCATGGGATTTGAATAAGATTGCTTTATATTAGTAGGTAAATTTGGGGAGAACTTATATCTTTACAACAATTGAGGAATATGGTATCTTGGGTTATGTATTCATATCTTCTTAAAGTCCTCCAGAAGAGTTTTAATGTTTTCATCACATAGTTCTTAGACGTTTTTTGTTAAGTTTACCCTGAGGTACTTTATGCATTTTTGCTGATGTAAATGGGATCTTTCTTCCATTTTAAAATTAGTTACCCATGGTATATAGGCATGCTTTTGAGGTTTGTATATTGATCTCTTGATTTTGTATCTTAGTGAATTCTCATATTATTTCCAATAAAATTTTAGTTGATCCTCTTGGGCTTTTTAGGTTATTCATCACTTCAAATGCAAATATGTTTGTCTCTTCCCTTACAATACTTCACTTTTCTTATCACATTGATTAGGACCTCCTCAACAATAATGAATAGTCACAGTAATAATAGGCACCCTACTCTTGTTCTTTTTTTTTTTTCCACTCTTGTTCTTGACTTTAAAACAGTGATGTTGTTTAGGATCCTCGCAGATAACTTCTGTTCCTAGTTCCAAGAGTTTTTTTTATTAGGGATTATCTGTTGAATGTTATCTAAAACAATCAGTAAAATATATTGCAAGCTACCTCATGATCTCAAGTTAGGTAGTGTGGAAGACTCCAAGGACAGTTAAATAGAACAGAATTCCTGTCCTCAAAACCGTTATCATCCCACTGGTAGATTAGATTTAAAATAAAAAGTTGAATAAAGATTTGGAAATAGTGCCCATCATGATAGATAATCATGATCATGTTTTCTCTCAAAACAGATGTGCTCCCATAGAAGGGCAGCGCTGGATGAAGAAGGAAGCTCAAGGTAAATACTGATCTGGCCATTTCAAAGTAGAATTTTAGAACTAGAGGAAAGCTTAGAACTCATCTATTTCAATCACATCATTTTACGGTGAGGAAACCATCAAAGGCAGGAAGAGTAGTTACCCTACTGCCTCTCAGAAGCAGCTCCCCAGCCAAAGCTGAGTTAGAATGCGACTGGCACAGCTGCATCTGCTGTCACTAGGCCTGGAAGGAAAGTGGCTGGAGGGGAAAGGTTTTGGTTGTACCTCTTCCTGCTAGGGGTGGACATGAGGCCTGGCCAGAGGTCTGCTCAGAGGCTCTGGGGAAAGGGCAGAGAAGGCCACATGGTCCTGGATGCTAGTCTCCTTCAAAGCTGATGGAAGGTTGAATATATGAGCCCTTCCTGTCAATCATCCCTTCGCATCTTACTGGCTTTCACGTCCCCAGTGTCTGTTGCCTTTAAACAAACCTCACAGAATTTTAACTGGGAGAAACCTCAGTCAGGAATTTATCTCTGCTTCTTACAATAAAGAAATGGAGAAGGAGAAAAGGAAACGATGTTGCCCCATGGTCATACTGAGAGTGAGTAGCAGAAAGAAGGTGGTTCCTTCCCACTGGGGACTTCTCCACTGATCATTGTGCTTGGGCTGTGAGCTCCATTTTATGTCATGACCCACTACATGTGCCATATAGGCATAAGTAGTTTCTAAAACAAACTTATTATGCACTCTGATTTTTTTCTATTCCATTTGTATTCAAAAGAATATTTTGTGTTTCAGTGCTGGTCATGACCTTTAAGCTGATTTCACAACCCATTCACTCATCAGTGAGAGTCTGACATGTGAAAGTTAGTGAGTTAGTTGGACTCAGCAATAAGTTGGTGTGATTCAACCTGTAGGAGAAAGCAGTAGGGAAACAGAAGCACCTTCTCCCCCACCCACCAGCAAGTGACACATGTGAGACTGAGTCCAAAGGATACTGGTGTAAAATGCTTCTGGGGAGAGCGAAAAGGTTCTGCCCGGTGCTTGAGCAGTTCGCTTACTGCACAAGCGCACTTGGCCAGTGGCCAAGAAAGTGAGTGGGGTTGAAATCCTGCCTACACTCCATGCCAAGCCACATACAAAGGTCTCCCCAGAGACACTGTGGGGCTATAAGAGACAGATACAGAGAAGTTCTGGAGCTCAGCATGCATGGAATTATTTTCAGGATCCCATATCTGTAGTGATTTTGCTTGTGATGATGGACTGAGGTACCCATTTGGTCCTAATAAGTCAGAGATACACATTGTGAGAGACATGAAAAACAGCATGAATCACTAATTATTATCTGTATGTGTGTTTTCCTCCAAGGGGCTTCTTCCCACTTCCGGATAAACCCTCAGAAGAGCGTAAGAATCAGGTAAATTTGAGGAGGATCAAGTACTATGCTGGAGAAAGCAGGGGATGTATGGAATTAATACCTCCTTTCTATTTTTTTAGAAGGGCTTTTCCTGAAGATGGTGGCTTTGGCTCAGGAATATGTACAGAACTGTCAGTCCCTCATGTGAGAAAAACCTGGCACAGAAGCTCCTTGGGAAGGATGGAGGGTAAAAGATTATGGATAATTTAAAATTCTTATCTAAAATGAGGTAATAACAAAAAGTTTTATTCCTTTTAAGAGTAAAAGATTTGGCATTATTCTTCTTGTCCCAGGGAGCTCAGTGAAGTCGTAATAGGGAAGAATGTGACTTCAGGGTCAGGTGCTGAAGGGAGGAGAGTGAAGCCCATGATACCAGCACAGAGGGAGCCCCAGACTGCCCGGGGGCCACCTACAACGTTTCTAATATTGGCTTCTCAATAAAATATGTAACTTTTTCTCATTGAAGTGTATGAACTCATAACCAATCCTAGCCACCTGGTAAGGAATTAAAGTATAAATTGTTAAATACTTAAATGCAAATAACAAGTGCCATAAGCACGAAAAGCAGGACTGAGGCCAGAATCCCTCGCAGCAGCCGTTCCTTCCACAGAGGTAATGCAGGCAAAGGACAAATGAGGTTTCCCTCCCTCATTTCCCCAATATCGTCAGTCCCTGGGAACTAGGAAACATGTTTTGCTGGTGAGGTGGCGTTCCAAGCAAAGTGAGCAGCCTGTTGTTCCTCATCTGGTTTATTCGTTTGCTGATGCTGGGCGAGGGACCCCTGCTCCCTTTGTGCCTGACCAAGCTACCTCCCAAGCTTCTTACTGAGTGACAGGTGTTTTCCTCTGTGTGGTGACTTCAGTGAGCCAACAAATATTTACGGTGCTTCAAGCAGAAGCCTAAATAGCAGTTATAATAGGAAGCAGCAACTCACATTTACTGTTTGCTTCCCCAGGTTAGGCATTTTACAGTTTCACTTAGACCAACAATCCATGGAAGCATATGTTGTTATCCTCATTTGACACATAAGGAAACAGGACTGAAAGAATCTAGGTAACCTGCTCAAGTGCACCAGGGCACCATCCAAAACTACAAATTAAGGCTTAAACTCAGGACTGTTAGACTCCAAAGCCTGCTAACCATTACACTGCCCCATTGGAGGGCATAGGGATTCAGAGAAGTATAAGCCATGGTCGTCATCAAAGAGTAAAAACACTACAAATAATATTGGTGATGAGCATGATGGCAGCTACTGGTGACGGAGCCCCTTCCTGTGGCCAGGTATCATCCCAGGCACTTTAGTTACACTGTTAGGACACAAGGGCAGAAACTCCCCACACTGGCTCAGACTCCGTATGAGTACAGGGTTGATCCTAATAAGACAGGTGGCCACAAAGATAGGGAGCTGAAGAAAACCAAGAATAGAGAGTCTGGTACCGCTGGGCTTCCCAACGTGTGGGCCTAGATTGCCGGCAGCTCCAGGTTCCTATTTAGGGAGAGTTCCCTTATTTCATAGTGAGTACATAAAGTGAGGCTTAGATAATATCTTTTTTATATAACACTACCTCAAATTTGCACAATTCTTATTAGCAAATAAGAACTACAAACCGAGAACTACTGATGTTTTAGGCAGAGAAGAGACATGATCCAGCTTGAGTTGTAGGTGGAGTAATTCGATGGTGGCCTAGAAGTAGAGAGGCCACTTGGGGGTTTAGATAAGTAGGACCTAGGAGAAAATGGGGCACCAGATAGGAGGTTTTGATGCAGGTGAAGAACTTGGGACAGTGAATCTACTTGAATGAGAACTGGAAGGACAAGAGCTTATTTTCAGAGAGTGAAAGATTGAACATTCTAAATGATGATAAGGTTCATGCATCACATAGGAATGGGGATCAGTGAGGTGTCAGGAATCTAGGAGCTGAAGCCAGTTGGATAGTCTTGGAGACGTATTCCCTTTCCCCTTTCAGTAGCTCAGCAGAGACCAACCAGCTCAATGGAAAAACAGCCTCCACCTTTCTAATGAGATCGCTTCTTTC